TGTTAGTTTTCTTTGTAGGATGTTTCCAACCTGTCTTTCTGACAGCTACTGTGTACTATATATATTTGTATGATTTTATCTTTATGCTCTCTTGTATATTTAGATGTTCCCTTTTAATGTCATTCACTTTTTGTTGTGTGTTTCGGTCCTGTCATTCCTTGTGCCTACCCCAGTGTAGTTGCTCTCGCTTAAATATCTTTCTAGGCAGTGTGCATACTGCTACCTATGGTTAAGTTCATGCACTGTTTGGAATATTGGCTTAAGCGGACCCTACACGATTAGTAATAATGTCATTAATTCCTTCATTACTTTTCAACCTTACACTATCATTAGAAATGACATTATTTGCTTCAGTACTGCTCGACTCATCAAGAGAGAAGCACATTTATTTTGTGTTAGTTTTCTCGAGGATTATAATGGATCCTTGCAGAAAAGCGTGTATTGCTATAATTTTAGCATTAGGCACAAAACGAAATGTTAAGCGCCGACACTGGATGAAAAACTAGTTACAAAAACGTGAAAAGTATTCGCACGTTGTTCTGCTAAAAGAAATTGGTGCGACGGAATCAGAGGATTACAGAAACTATTTTCGTATGAGTGAAGGAACATTTGATAAGTTGCTGAGAATGGGTGAACGATTTTTAATAAGAAAGGACACTAATATGAGGGAGAGTTTACCAGTGAATGAAAGATTAGCAGTGACCCTGAGGTACCTAGCTACAGGAAGAAACTTCGAAGACCTCACGTGTTTAGCTGTCATGTCACCTGCTACAATAAGCGTTGCTGTTGTTGAAACATGTAAAGTGCTTATATACATTCTGCAAGAGTATATGAAGGTTAGCTCTCTTTTGTATAATTGTTTTGTATCAATGATTTGCTCATTGTATAAGTTAAAATTCAAGTGCAGTAGGATATAATTGAAACATATCAACTAGTTAGAAATTATTTATTATAATGCAGTATCTTGAACAATGAAACACATAAAAATTATATTTAAAAGCATGTGACTAATAAAACATGAAAGTAGAAATGAAACTGTTACAGAACAACATATAGGATCATAATTAGGGTTTAAAGTTTGTAAAGAATGTAGGCAATGCATCTTCTTGTTCTTCAGCTGGTGAGGGACAAGAAAAGGTATGTATCCGCAGAAAAAAAGGAGTGAAGTGATGGGGAAGGAGGTTAGTGATGAAATGGTCCCGTACACGGGATACTCGTTGATTTCCACAGAATATCTGTGCAGGGTGCCTTGACTCACCTCAAAAATAATATCACTGATAGCTTTCTCAGCTAAAGCTCTTTGCTGAGGATCCAGTGTATTCAGTTTCTCGCCCCAAGCCTTGGTAATAGTCGGGATATTTTCTTGGGGTTCCTTCGGTTGGTCCAGAGATGAACAAGCTTTCTGTAGAAGCTCATTTTGTTTCGCAGTTGGTCCAAGTACACGTCGTTTCTTGGGTGGCGGTGGTGGAAGAATTGATGATCGTGATGCGGTAGGGGCTGCTGGTGTTGGGAATTGTTCTCCTTGTACTTCACTGTCTGTTCCATCATGAGTGTCCTGAATATAGATAAAAATTGTTTTTATTATTGTTACTAAATGTATCTTGTATTTATATATTTGTTATATTTAAATTCCACTTTTTTCAGTTTCCCACAACTCCTGGGGAGTGGGTTAACACTGTGAGTGATTTCGGCCATCTTCATCAATTTTGGAATACCGTGGGGGCAATTGATGGCAAACATATTGCCATTAAAAAACCCGCGAAATCAGGTTCCTTATACTACAATTACAAAAGGTTTTTCATCGTGCTGTTAGCTGTGGTAAATGCAACAAAGGAATTCATCATGGTAGATGCTGGCATGAATGGACGAATATCGGATGGAGGAGTTCTGTACTACTCAAAATTTGGGGAACTTTTAGAGCAAAGAGCCCTGAATTTGCCAAAACCCACACCATTACTAAACACAGCTGAAAATTTCCCATACGTGTTTGTCGCGGACGAGGCATTTGCATTAGACGTAAATTTAATAAAACCCTACTCTTGGAAATTTCTAAATGAAGCTGAACATGAATTCAATAACAGATTGTCAAGAGCTCGTGTAGTTGTGGAAAATACCTTCGGAATTCTGGCTTTCAAATTTGGTGTATTTCAGAAGCCAATCAGCCTTGAATCACAAAAGGCCAAAACAATTACAATGGCTTGTTGTTACTTGCACAATTTCCTTGCTAAGGAAAGTAATCAAGTATATTTTTACCCAAATGAAAAAAGTACTGATGAAAACGACCTTGCCAATTTACAAAGCACTCTGAACAGAAATAGTACCTCAGATGCAAAGAAAATCCGAGATAAATATTGCGAGTACTACAACAATGAAGGCAAATCGCAGTATTTACCACTTGCAGCAGCAGGAAACACCAGCAACATATGAAACTTTCTTTCTATGTGTTTGATTACAGAATGTAAAAATAAGTGTATTAAGTGCATGAAAAGAAATGTTTTTCATAGTTTAATGATAATAAAGGAAATAATATTCATAATTAGGGCCCGGATTTCTATGACATGTCATATTTTTTTCCTAGGGTTTATTCCTATTTTTAAATGTAATTATGCATGTTTCCAGTCATTCTTATTGAAATTATGTCGTTTTTATTGTGCATATAAATGCATATTTTAGAGTTTTATTCGTTTTACAGCATATTTTGGCATAATTTTGAAATAAGGTCATATTTTCGTCATTTTAGAAACAATTCTTCGATATAATGTAAAATTTCGGCTCCATAATGTTTAGTACTCGTATTACAAAATAAATTTCAGGCTGGACTGTTGCTTCAATGTGGAATAGAGTTCAAGTACATGAAGTTCGTATTAAAAACCATATTTTTGACTGGACTGTACTTGCAGTTACAAAGGCGAAAATTTGTGAAATGCAGCATTTATGACCTGGCAAGCCGGCCTTTCCCAGTCGAGGCAGGAGGGAGGCAAGTGTAACGGGTATTCTCCTATTGTACTCCGTCTTACTATAAGGTATATACATCCCATTCTTTCTTGGAGGGCTTAGAAGTATTCTATTTATATATGTGGAGGGATTATAAGACTGCAGTTTGACTTTACAATGCCTAAAGTGTGAACTCTATGACGCGTTGGACACTGTAAAGAGCACTGAGAATGAACTAAACCGAACTCGTGGTGAAATAAGTGACAGGATTAAAACCAAAATAGAAAGTGTTCTTCATCGGAATGCTGGTTATTCAACATTATGCAAGATTGCAGATATACTTTCCGGTAAACTAGCAACATTCGAAGATGATACAGAACTGTCACCAAACGACTTGACATTCTTCAAATATGCTCCTGTCACATCATGTGATGTGGAACGAAGTTTTTCCAAATACAAAACTATCCTTAGTGATAATCGGCGATCTTTCAAATTTGAAAATTTGAAAATGCATGTAGTTATAAATTGCAATTGTAACAGTGAAAATTGAGACGTGAATAACTCAGTGAAAATTGAGACGTGAATAGCTTGTGTTCTTTTAAATGGTGTTTTTAGATAACAGAGTTAAGTTAGTGTTCATACCATGTGCACCAGTGTTTGTCTAAAATATGAACGCAAATATCAGTATTAAAAAGAAAATAATGAATGGTTTAATCCAGTACGAAATGTCGAAATTCCATCAGTTTTCTTTCCTTCAGAGACATAATAGGGCTAATTTGGTAAGTAGGACCTACTATCATATATTCATCATCTTTATTCTTAAACTCTAGTAAAAGTTGTAATTAAAATTGTGAAATTTTATGTCCCACTTAATATTCAAGGTCATATTTGACATAATTTTGGGTCATAAGTGCATGCATATATTTACCTGTATAGTTTTTAGGTCATAAAAATCCGGGCCCTATTCATAATAAATTCTGCCAAGCTATGAGAACGTAGTTCAGTATTCCTTGACAAGAGCCCAGGCCTGTTGTTTTAATGAAAGTAACTAAAGTCGTAAATTTGACCCCATGAGATTTTCTGGGGTTTGTAACCGTACATCCCTCACCAAAATTATTTAATTAAGGGAATGAACAACTTATGCATTGTTTAACACCATGAGAGACGCTCCTCCGGCGAGATACCATCCCGGGACCGTCTAGTTGTAATGCAGCTATTTTCCTCCTTAGGCTTTGGGTGTCACTATTGTCCCTGCCTGTTTGCTCCTAGTGTCATAAACCCATGAACTGACCTTGTGCGAGACCGGCCAGGAGGGGTCTTGGGTTCCCTGCTCTTGTGCCTTGAAGACCTAAAAAGGTTTATGGTCATCTCGAAAAATACGAATGTAGAACAGATGTCGGGCTCGACCCTTCGCTTTCTCTTGTTATTTTGTTTTGTTTTATGCCCACTGGGAGACTTGTAAAGAGAGGGCAGCGAGGACAACAGTTGTTGAAATGTAGACAAGAGAACAGAGAAGTGTTTTACACTAGGGGTAGTGAGTAGGATGGCTGGAGTGGCTAGCTCAGATGATTTGCAAAGAGGGAGCAGTTGTTTACAGGGAAAGAGGTGGACAGTTGAAAAGGGAGTTACAGGACGGTAGCTAGGGAGTGGCGTGTATAGTCAGTGAGCTGGGGGAAAATTGGTGTACAAAGGTTAAGTGTGACAGAGCAGCAAGCTTGGAGGAAAATGTAAATATTGATCCTTGAATGAAATTTTAAATTAAAACTGCAATACACGGTGTGTTCTGGAACCCCCGGATTCATGAACTCCAAAGCATGTTCCACTCCCATATCTGAAGCACCCATATCCTGAGAGAAAGAACTCAAGCTCGAGTGAGTCGTGGCAGATGTACGTCGGCGGGCGAATACAGGTTGCTAGAATTTGTATATGTAGGTACTTACCACATTTACCTGCTGTACATTGGCGTTGACTGGTTGCTTAAATTTGTCGAGAAACTGGAGGGCGTAAAATACCCAGGAAGTAGGCTGATACAATTCATCCGTACCGCTTCACGATCTCTTAAGAACATAAGCAGTTTACATGTAACATTCCATGTACTTCTGTACAGTGAAACTGCAACACAGTGCTAAAGCTTCAATACAATGAGAAGAGAAAGCCACTGGCACTGCACAAATGTTAATGTTACATATACGGAAACATCTAACACAAAGCACATCCATCACAAGAGTAACTGCAGGCTTGTTTCACAGCCAAGAAACTGACAACTGATGCAAGCAAAGAGATTATGTGAGCATGAGGAACTCAACTTCTCCATTCCATTAATAAGGAGAGCAAGAAGCTTGGCCGTCATGTCAACATATAGCCACTTTGTGCTACTTGGGAAATTGCGAGTTCCACCTTTTGGGAAACATTTCTGAGTAGACCAGCGAAAGCCAAACAACTCGGAGAAACACAATGTGTCCTTCAGCAATGTCAAAAACTAGGCCAAGGAAAAACCCTCAAAATCAAGAAACTCAGAATGTTCACAAAACGTAACAATTCCAGCATGCCTGTTCTCTTGCTGCAGGCAGAGAGCACCATCACCTTGAAAAAAGTACAGCTTATGGGGAAAGTGCACTGGACATGAAATGTGCATTTCTACACATATTTTATTTCTATTCTTCATTTAAAATAATTTAGCAAGTCTGTGTGATTCTTGCATCAGATGTACACAAAAATGCATTCTGACAGTGTCCTTTATCACTGTCAAATTTTACCTGAAACTAAAACATGCTGACACATTATAGCAAACTGCACGATAAAATACTTCATGAAAATCCATTTAGTGGTCCTCAATTTGTTACATAAGCACAGGCAAAAACGGCAAAACTGATACAGGCATTTTCACAAGATTCTGTTGCAAATTCTGGCAAAAAGAATAAATATTGCAGTGCCTACCTTATACTGTTAAAACTTTAGTGTTATGTGGTTGCATACATAATTAAAAGTTGGGCTTCAAGATTATGAGTATTTCAACAACTTTCAGATATTATGAGTACTTGCTACAATAAGCATTTGTATTCATGTTACAACTTCTTGTTATAATAAGGCCGCACTGCATTTAATTCACTGCTATATCTCGGGACACTTCCTGCATGATATTATCATACACAGGAATCTCAAAATGCAAATAATTTAACTTCAAGACTGGCCACTGCAACAGACATTGTCCTGTGAATGTTCAAGGGCAGATTTCATCATCATCATCATCAGTAATCTGTCAAGACGACAGGTC